AGTTCAAATAACATTTTTTTTTTCGTAGAAAGACTTTCTTGATTAAGAAAGCAGTATGTCGATATATATTCTGGTGCAAGCTCCTTATTTCAATGTGAAATAGCACTTTGAATAGCATAGTTTATAATAACTAATAATTGGAAATAACCCAAATTCTATCAAGGGGGTATTTACTAAATAAATTTTAATAGATCAAGAATAAAATCCTATGCATTCATTTAGTAATGAAATCTACATATCTACATATAGGTACCATGTCTACATATATGTGACAGAATGGAAAAAATATTGCAGAGAATTATAAATACAGTTCAAAGTGCAAGATGAAAAAGTACACGTTTAGATATGCATAGAGTTCCTGGAAGCATACACAAGACCTTGCTAGCCATGGATATCTGTGGACTGTGGGGCCGGGATCATGCAGGGATGGGGCATAGGCTTTTTATCTGGTGCTCTGCTATACTGCTTGCACTTTTCTACAACTAGCATAAGCTATATTTATACTTTTTAAAAACACAAACTAAAATTTAAAAAAAAAATTTTTTTAAAGTAATGAATACAAGTCAAATTGGACTCACTGCAGATCAAATTTCCAGAAACTGGCTTTGGGGTGAAATTCATTTCAGAAGACTTATTGAGACAATCTTTACATGAATTTCCATGGAGTCATTTGTGTAAAGATGTAAAAACATATGAGCTTGTTTTTCCAAACTTACAAATCTGGTTTTCTCATCTTAAAAAAAATTATTATGGGCAACGCACACACCTCCCAAAACAAATGTTTAGTCCATCTCTAAGATATGTCTCAAAGCTACAAGGTAGTGAAGTTAGGATTGTCTTCCTGTAGTGTGACAATCAATCACCTAATTCTGAATATAACTGTTTCAAAAAGTACAGGACCAAAGATGCTTTGTGCTCAAAAAGCCCTAAATGGTAGATCATAGCATGTTTTTGACAAAATCTAGGGGTCCTATATGCTTCATGGAAACCACAATTTATATTGCCAAAAATTATGGGATATTAGACCTTTCAGAGCATCTGGAATACATTAATAATTGTTAACATTTGTACAGTACCATGCAGTGTGCAAAGCACTTTTATATCTACTGTCTTACTTTTAATCCGCACAACAGATCTTTGGAGTATGTAGATTTCATAGATCAAATTTTATAGATGTAAATTCTGGGTATAGGAGACTTCTGTTTATTCCCCAAAGTCACTAAGAAGTGAAGAGGCAGTGCCAGGCTGTGCCAGCCAAGTTCTGACCACCACTCCACACTGCCTTCCAAGCCTGGCCCACCTAAGCCACCCCAGATGAAAGAGTCTGGGTGATTTGCTTTTATTCTCGTGTTTCTTTGCATGATGTTATGGCACTGAGCTGGATGAATTTCACAGCAGACCATGTCTGTTGCCCCTGTTTATTAAACATTGCTACTTGGAGTGAGTGGGCAGAGAATACAGACGGTGGCTTGAGTTCTCAGTATCTTGAACAGGAGGATCAAGCAAGATGAATAGAGGGAAAAGCAATTCTTGTTGATCTGAACGAAGGAAGCCCTTGTACATGCTGAGTTTTCTAGGGACATGTCTGTTTTTCTCTTTGTCCTACTCTATGCTTTTTCCAGAAAGTTCAGACTAATGATAAAATGATCTTTGAAGATCTCTCTAATTCTGATACCAACTTTCACCATTTCATCGCAGTCTCTCACGTCGAATACCTTTCCTCTCCGACGGCTCTTTTTAAACTACCCATATCTCATATGCCATTTATATTTCTACTTTCTTGCATCTAAACCCTATATAGAGGAATTATAACTATGTGATAATACCTTCCATTTATTGAGAACCTATTAAAAAATTCCAGGCACTGTGGTAGGTATTTTATATATTATATATTATCTCTAAAGTTTGTAGCAAATTCTACCAGGTTTACCTCATTCCTTGCACTTGGCAGATAAAGAAACTGAAGCAAAGAGGAAGTGTCTGGATCTCACAGGAGTGAGTGGCAGTGCTGGGATTCAAAGGCACATCTGTCCAGCCTCAAGGCCCAGGTTCTCTCCAGGACACGGCACACAGAAATAATGCTTATTGTATTAGCTACTGAAAGAAGGTATTTAGTGAAAACGTTCATTTTAAAGTTATGCATTTTAACAGTTAGACGCATATTCTCTTTTCCTCAGCTCTGAAAGGTGGGTTGGTGGTCTAAGGTGATGAAATCAAACCTAACACCAGTGTGCTGCTCCCATATCATATCCCTTACCAACCTAGGGAGAACTACGGCATATAATGGGCCCTTCTGTTCTGCTTCTTTCTCCACCTGGTCAACTCTCAAAGGAAAACAAAATTCAGATGATCTTTGAGGTCTAGAAATTAACTTTTATTTTAAATCTGTCAAGAACTCCTGGCAGTTATTAATTTTATTAAAATGATTACATATGGTAAAATAAAGCGTAGAAGTAATTCTATTTCTCTACAACATAAATTATGAGTTAGATTTTCAGCTGCTGGCTCAGCATTGTTCAAGATTCTTTTATAGAATTTGGGGGACTTTAGTTTCCAGAAAATGTTAAAGCAGCAAGAAAAAAAAAATTAAAAGTAGTTGCAGTTGGAGATATTTTCAAGGATGTGCTAATTATAAAATCTTCTTGATGTGTTTATAGGCCAGACTCCAAGCTTTGGTATGTAAAAAAAAAAAAAAAAAAATTATTTGACTAGCCATCCTATATTGGCTTGTAGTTTATAACATAGAACAAATTTGTTGATTCCTTTTTTTTTAATGGCAACAATGAATTATGACTAATTCAAAAAAAAAAAAAACAACACAAACAAACAACCAGCATCCATTCATCTAACTGGAATATGTCAAAACAAAACAATTTTATTAAAATATTTAATACCAGAATAACTTATAATAGTATGAAAAAGAGTGAAGTACTTGTCTTTAGTTTTCATTGATATGATCCCATTTTGGCAAAATTGATTTACAAAGATTAAAAAGATTTTATAATGGTTTTGTAACTACTTAAGGGTGTAAACCAAAAGAACTCATACTTCATCTGATCATACAGTCATAACTTACATATCTTGCTTTGCACTTACTGTTACTGCAAACAGCAATTTAGAAAACAAAGTAAAAATATATATACAAAATACTTTTATATCAAATTATCTTCATTACACTAAATAAACTTAATCCCCAAATGTTATGTTACATGAAAAAAGGTCCTACAATTTATGTCAAGATTGATATTGTCCACATATGGACTAGAGCAGCCTTTGGTTTTAAAAGCACTTTGCAAAATTAAAAAAAAAAAAATGTCACCACATGGCTGCACTGCTGGCTCTCATTCACACTCACAAAAATGCTTTCCAGTTTTAAAAATATTACAAAATATATTATATACGCAAAAAAAAAAAAAAAAAAAGTCCCCCATAAGAGAGTGAAATCCTATTTACTTCTCTGTGGCACATGTACGCTGTCATATTTGGTGTCTCTGCTGTTTATTAAAGTTTCAAGTCTCCCCAGCTGATTAGAATATTATTGTTTGATTGAAAAAGACATTCTTTATTCTTGATATTGATTATTCTCACTCAGTGATGCCTAATTTAGAAACAAAATGTTCTTTTTTTTAATGCTCAATTTCACTTAATTTTTACTTTAATGTCCTACTTGGCAAAATTCAGAGACTGTACAATGTTTTGTTGTCCATATGTTTTAAATTTAAAAATCAATTTTATATGTGTGTATGTATATTCACAGAAATACATTTCTTTCATTATCTTGATCTCGTTGCAAAAAAACTGCCCATCAGCAAGGTTAATTTGAAATGAACCAAATAAAAGGCTTTTAGCCATTCCTTAAGAAAAACAGTTTCCATCACAAAAACACTGAGCAAGGTTATGTTTTAAAACTAAACTGTAAATTTAGCTCTACACAGGAAAATTTCAAGTTATCTATGTAATAAAAATTTTTTAAAACTTCATCAAAACTTGCCCTGGTTGTCTGGCTTAGCGATTAGAACAGGGTCTCAGGTTCAATTCCTGGTCAAGGGCATGTACGTGAGTTGCACGTACAGGTTCGATCCCTGGCCCCAGTCGGGGTTGTACCGGAGGCAACAAATCAATGTGTCTCTCTCACATCGGAGTTTCTCTCTCTCTCTCTCTCTCTCTCTCTCTCTCTCTCTCTCTCTCCCTTCCCTCCCTTCCACGTTATCTAAAATTCAAGGGAAAAATATCCTCAGGTGAGGATGAACAACAACAAAAGAAAAGAAAATAAACGTCAGCAAAACTTGAGAAAGAGAAAATCCAAATTAATTCTAAAGAGCATGTATTTTCCAGCAGTGCTTGGAAAAAGTTTTTCAGATCATAACGTATTCATTGAGATGCTTCTTAAATGTACACTTTATGTGATCACCACACCTTTCATTTTGAAAGTTTGTAATGTGTCAGATATGCAGGCAAGATATATGCATAAACGTCTCACTGTCATTCTGAAAAGCACAACAATTTTAAATACTGAAGAAGTTTTTCTTAAAGGAACATTTCCTTTGGGCTGAATGAATTTCCAAGTTTTAACATGGGAATTGTTGAATGCATTTCAAGGGCTTTGGCGATTATGGTCTCAGTCCCGGAATGGTCAGGTCCATCTGGAATGACACTCACAGACTAATACGCGTTATGGCGTCATTTTGAGGCACAGCTGCTCTGCTGTGCCCACGTTGTAGCTTATTTTCAGGAAGCAAGGCACTTACTGTGATGGCAATGCAGACATTGAATGCATAGTTTGAGTAACATAAAATAAGTTAATATTTTTGATTAAAGTAAGGTTTTTTTTATAACTTATATGTCTTTTATAGGAGCAATTAAATGAAATGTTTAGGATATTAAAAATAAGAAGAGGTTTCAAAGGGGGTCATTACCACCCCTGCTTCAGCTCTTGAGATGAGGATTTAGAGGAAACACTGGCGTGATGGACGGCCATTAGCCTGCAAAGCGGCAGACTGTCAGAACTGCTGGACAAGGGGCACTTTGACCGTCTTTACTTCTGCTATATGTGACGACTTCTGGATGATGCAGCTGGTGGTTCCCTGCAGCCTGTCTTTCCCTTGTGCGAGATTTGTTAGGGCCATAGCGGCGTTGATCTCCTTCCAGTACGTGTCATCCTTGCTGGGCCCCTTTCTGTTAGCTGCACTGGATTGAAGCAAAACAGAAGAAAACAATCAAACTCACTGCAGCTACATAGAAAATGGCAACACTAAAAAGCACAAACGGCACATCTAAACCTGTTGCTCACCTGTTATTGGATCCATTTTCCAGGGTGTCTGAAAGAGAAGCAGAAATTCAATTACTTTTCTTTCTTTCTTAATCTCCGGAGTTTCATCATGAATAACCAGGAATGAAAATTCATCAGAAAATATAGCTGATCTCTCTCACATCTCTCTCTTTCTTTCTCTCTCTCCCTCTCCCCTTCCCCTCTTCCTCCCTCCCTCCCTTGCACTCTCTCTAAAAATCAATGGAAAAAATATCCTCAGCCTAGCCAGTGTGGCTCAGTGGTTGAGCGTTGACCCATGTACCAAGAGGTCACCGGTTCGATTTCCAGTCAGGGCACATGCCCAGGTTGTGGGCCCCATCCCCAGTCAGGGGGCATGCAGGAGGTGGCCAACTGATGTTCTCTCCCATCGATGTTTCTCTCTCTCTCGCCCTCTCCCTTCCTCTTTGTCTAAAAAAATAAAGAAAAAAATAATTAAAAAAATATCCTCAGGTAAGGATTAACAAAAAAGGGGGGGGGGATGTGGCTGAAAATTAGTTTTGTTTTGTTTTCACACAGATAAAGTAGTTTAAATTAAGATGCAAAAGAAATCTCTTTACAAAGAAGCAGGCATATGATGAGGTAATAAAGAATAAAAAGTAGCTTCATAGAGATAGAAAAATTGGGGTTAATGTATTCTGAGAAAGTGGGCCTTTTCACAAAGAGGAGAACGAGACAACCAGATGGCTCTGGTTCCACCCCACCGCTAAGCTGCTGTGCACCTGTAGCCAGATTATGGTGCCCCACAACATCTGGGGTGCAATTTCCTCAACTATAAAATGGGTGTGTTCCTAGATCTCTGGGGAACCTCTGGCTCAATTCTATGATTTCATAGGAACTAAACCTCCATCTTTGAGAAAGGACTGGCAACTAGTCTCTTTGGCTAGTTAGCAAATGAGTAACAGACCCATGCTGCCAACAACAGAGGAGTCCCTGGTATATTCAAATCAGCAGAGATCACTCTTCAAGCTTCAAGCTCCAAAACTCCTCTTCCTGCTGCTCCCTCACTCAGAACAACAGTGTCGGCCAGTATCACATCAACAGAGAGAGACAAAGCAGGTTCTTGACCTTGATCTTCACCTCTGAGTAGATCCTCTGCCTAAACTAATCGGGAACACAAAAGTGGACAGATAGAGGGAAAGAGGGGCTACCAGCATGGCAGGGAAGTAGGGACAAATGAGTGGGGTGGGAACTCCCCATTAGCCTACAAGACTCCAACACTAGATAGTGGTTAAGTCACTGCCATCATCATCGACAGCCACATGCCCGAGCAGCTGCAGACTGAGGCACCTTGCCCGGCACAGGAAACACGAAAATCACAAGGCTTGCTCAGGCCCTCGTCTAGCTCGATGGCCTTGGGACAGCTGTCTCTTCTACCTCTCAGGGCCTTCCCTTTCTTTTACCACCCCCAACCCAATATTTCTGAAGGCAATTTCCCCCCCTGCAATGCTTAAGGCTGGTTAGGCCATGTGGAATAATTTCTAGTTCTGGGCTCTAAGAGAGTCCAAAACTAGAAGAAAAACATCAACATGATCATAAGATAGTCCAACCGAGGCAAAAATTCCCAGGGAAGATGTGGTCGAGCGAATATAATGGCACAGCCATGTAGACACATCTGTGCAGGAAAGGAATGGGGAAAGCCCACTAACACATCCCAAGTCAAGCCTTCGGTTGTAGATGGGGAGACAATACTGGTCACTGTGAGCATTTGTAGTCTTTCACGCAGGGACCCAGGGAGCTTCAAACAAACAAATCAAACAAAGCAAAAGCATTTAGTGAATAAATTAAAAGATTGTTAGGAAGCGTAAATGAGATAATGAATGTCTGGCCCAAAATGGAATAACAAGTGTCATTAGTTCCTTTGGTCTCCTTCTGTTTTAGGGATCCTTTCGGGAAATAATTGGATCGGTAAGCCGTTGGATGGTTAGCCTCTGGATATTTTGCCTGGATGGTTAACTATACTTTTGCTGCTTTTGTTAATTTCAGATTTACAAAATTACTCATGTAAATGGAAGAAAAGAGTGACAAGTTTTAACTCACAGAACTCTCATAATCTTAGTTCACAGATCACGTCCTATGTGCCAGGCACTGTTCTAAGCACTTTGTATCTTAACTGATTTAGTATTAGTGACTCTGTGTGTGGACAGCATGTCTCTGTTTTGTCCAGTAAATCATTCTTTGCTTAGTACTGTTATCTGTAAATCTTCACTGAGTGGTGACAGAGACAAGGCACTACCAGAACGCAGAACAAGTCAAGGCCTTTGTTTAGGAGGCAGAAAGCCAGCACATTGGACATTTTACAGAGGGGGAAAAAGAGTTAGGCCTTTGCTCAATTTTGCCCACAAATTGCAACAATTCTGTTGCCAGAGTGAAGCAATAGGTTATGGAGATATTTATTCAATGGAAAGCCTTGGCAAAAGCAGAATAAGTTCCATGAAGCTTAAATAACATTAGGGAAATAACAAAACATAATTTAGAAAAGACCATGTAATTGATGCTTTGGCTCACAAACCAAGCAGCCTCACATACACGAGGGGCCAGAATCAGACTCCCCACCTGAATGGTCAACCCGAGAGTGCCTACTGCACAGACAGCAAGAAGGGAGCCTGTGGCTATCAAATATGTCCCGGGTTCCGGAGCCCAGAAATGAATGAAGCCCGCCTGTGGAAGGAGGACGTCGAGGTCCACGGAGAGCCTGTATTAGAGACGAAGAGTGAACCTGTAGGTCCCACAGTCCCCTGAATGTCTGTACTCCCTGTGGCTGCCTCCTTGAACTTGTGCCACAGAGAAACAAGTTTACTACAGCCAACTGTGAGATTATAAAATTCTGCTTACTCTTTGGGTATATGTGTTTTACAGTTTGGTGCCTATGAAAATACCTTTGAAGTGTAAAAACGCAGACTCCAATCCCCACGTGGGTATTCCTAATTAGTTTCACAAATTTCAACAATGTACTCGGCAGGATTCCAAAGAACGAATCCTGCATTTCAATTCTGAGGCAGACGGGCACACGCAGTGTCATTAGGTTTGGAATCAGGTTCCTTTCCCAGAAACAGAAGAAAAGTCTTCATAAAAAGTAACGTATAGAAGACACATTTTGATTCTCCGTCAACAGTCGACGCTAAACAGCGTGGGACAAAGCTCCACGTCAAACCTTTCATACCAACAGGCATAAGCTGACTACTACAGCTTTGGGGGGTCTGTGTCCAGGGTGGTTTTGGTCCAAACCCTGACTCGGTGTGAGAAGGGCACGCTTTCCTGTTGCTGTCGTTGGGGCACTGCCCGCTGGATGTTACGCGTCTGAGAGCCACCTCCTGCCGTGTCATGCTCCTAGTTTCCAGAACTTCCAGAAGAAAGATAGCAAACAGGGGCCCTTTCACTCAGAAACATTTGTGCTTTTGTAGGTAGGCAAAGAAATATAAAGATCTGGGAGTTTGGGGAGTTTTTTTCTCTTTGTCATGCTGAGATAAAATCTGGGAAATGCCCTAGGTATTTTAGACAACCGGTATCCTTTTGGGGGAACTCAGAAAATATACAATTCACTCGTTACATTAAATAATTGTATTAAATATAAAGATGTTTGGTTTTTTATCTTATGCTCTTTTCCTTTGAAGTTTAAACTTGCTGGCTCTTATCTGGTCAAGTATTTTGTGCCTTTTCAGTCAATTGTCAGGATCTAGGGAGTGGTGGGTGTCGACCCATCACCAGAGCTCAGGGGCTCGGGCCATTTCTGACCACTGCAGACAGGTGGTCTCACCGCCCCTCGCAGAAGTGGCACCCAGTAGCTCAATCTGACAGGAGAAGGAAGGATTCTGAACGCTGCTGAAAAGAGGGAAACCATAAGTCTGAGCTAGAACAGACATTTCGCTGCTGTTAATTAACACGCACAGACTTCGGGCCTGACCGCCCCCTGCACGAGGCTCGGCTGCAGCTCTCACTCTGCAAGTAGCTTGGCTCGGCCTCTCCGAAGTCTGGGCTAAAATGCCTTTTCAGATTCTAAGGTTCCAAAAATCAGCTACGCTGTCAATTACCATAAAAGCAACTGGTTGGCAGTAACAACGTATTAAACCAGCCAAAAGAGCGTGTTTTAAGACCAAAAAAGAAAAGGAAAGAAAAAAAGAGGTGCGTAGTTAGGAAAATCTTGAACACTGTAAAACCCAAACCATGTTGAAACTTAAAAGTGGGGCTATCCTCGGTTTGGACATGTATTTCCTTATAAAGTTAAGTAGAGAAAGAATTGTACAGAATTCAGGTCTATTGCAACTCAAGATGGGTTAACACAGAGCTCTGTGGGCAAAGTGTCCATTCAACTTTGATAAATGCCAATTTAGAAACACATTAATTCTGATATATTTTTCTAAAATGAGTTATAGTCATAAAAAGAGACAAGAATATGGCCAAATCTTTTGCTCTGATTTTTTTTTTTTTTCAAATTTAATCAATAAGTTCTAAAGTTAGGAATGTTTTCCAATGTTCCACAAAATATTACACCACACATTATTAAAATATAAATAAAATTAAGTATGATTAAGAATATGAATATTTTAAAATTAAATAGTCTAAAAAACTATGTTTTCCTAAGTTAAAATAGAGAGAGTCAGAGCTCCAGATGTTTGACAACTGGGTTTCCTCACACTCGGGACAGTTTGGGGGCCGTGACTGGTGACAGCAGGTGTAGACAGCCAGGGTTTAGTATGTTTCTGATCTCAGCGGTCCCAAGAGCCGCCAAGACACCAGATCAGTTTCTGGAGTAATTACATACACGGAACAAGTGAGATAAAAAAACAGACTGGTGAGTAGAGCAGATAGAAAACCTCGCTGAAGATCCTGAAATACTGATTGCTCCAAATTTGCAGGCCCTTCCACCGAACAATCGGAGGGCTCCCCGGGCTCCCTGCTGCCACCACGCGGCCTCTCTCCTTCCGCGCACAGCAGACCAGCCCAGGCTCACACACACCTACGGACTGGATCCACTGTGACTGTACATTCCGTTTCTTTAAAAAATATTATATG